TAAAGGCTAAAGTTAACTTACTATCATTGAAATTTCCGATTGCCTGGTCTCAGGGGGAAATAATTTTCCCCATGTTCTTTTGTGATTCAATTCCTTGTATTATCATGCACCTCTAGTGGTGAAGCATAACCCAGGAGTGGCCATACAGTAGAAGCTATGTCAATCTCTCATTCTCACCTAGGCAAGAAAGACAGAAGTGCACAGACTGGCTGTCTGGCAGACTGGCAGCAGAAAAAGAAACACACACACACACACACACACACATATATATAGTTGTGATATAGTAGGTAGTAATTTGCAGTTATAAGGGATTATTAAAGTGAATCTGCTTTTAATACTTTTAGTTGGTGTATTTATGGTATATTGGCAACTCAATTAGGATATATCATATATATGTTAGATATCTATATATGGTATTCAATAGGTCTAACACGTGAATTTATAAAGACCAAATTGTTGTGTGTTACAGCTTAGCTTTTTTGCAAGCTGATTTAGAAAAAAAAAACTGAAAAAAATTAAACTGGTAACTATATTTCCTTTGTCTCCAGTCTTTGTGTGTCACTCCCTTTATGAAAGCAATACTGCAGACTTGAGAATTCCTGGTCATAATCAATTAGGATATGAGTTAAAGGGGGTTATTAACTAATCCCAGAGAGTATAAAATCTAGTGCATCTCTGCATGGTAACCAATCAGCCTCTAGGTTTTATTGTCAAAGCTTAGTTTAATAAGCTGAATGGTTACTGTGCACAGCTGCACCAGAATCTGAGTGCACCAGTCTTAGTAAATCTACCCCAAAGTGTTAATAAATCCTAGAAAAGTTATCAACAAATAACCACATTTACACACTTCTTCATGTTGTTGATGATCTCTTCTTTTCAGTACAGGATTTTAGTTATTTATTACAGGTATTTATTTAGCACCACCAATTTACACAGCATTTGCATATATATATATAGTACATTCTCATCAGTCCCTAACCCTCAAGGAGCTTACAATCTAAGGTCCCTAACTCACATTCAAACATACACAGTTAACCTACCAGCATATCTTTGGAGTGTGAGAGTAAACCAGAGTACTAGGAGGAAACCCACGCAGGCACAGAGGGAACATACAAACTCCAGGCAGGTAGTGACGTGATTGGGATTTGAACCAATGACCCTATTTCTGCCAGGCAGAAGTGCTAACCATTTAGCCACTGTCATTTTTTTATGCCCAACAATACTTCTGTTTTTGCAGTGGCTCCTCTCACTAGCAGGGTCTCTCTATACTTTTAATTACTGCAAGATATCTGATGAAAAAACACTATACAAAATGGGCAATAATATTTATTTTAAAAAAATAATTAAAATTTAATTTAACATTTTAAAAAATCATATGTGTTTTTACTCACTTCTTTGTTTGTCCTCCATTGTGGTTAGATGAAGGAGGAGAGATCAGTATAAAGTCACAGGAATGTTGCACGTACAATATCTCATAGAAGTGAGCTCACCCTTCACATTTTTGTAAATATTTGATTCTATCTTTTCATGTGACAACACTGAAGAAATGACACTTTGCTATAATGTAAAGTAGTGAGTGTACAGCTTGTATAACTGTAAATTTGCTGTCCCCTCAAAATAACTCAACACACAGCCATTAATGTCTAAACTGCTGGCAACTAAAGTGAGTACATCCCTAAGTGAAAATGTCCAAATTGAGCCCAATTAGCCCTTTTTCCTTCCTGGGGTGTCATGTGACTCGTTAGTGTTACAAGGTCTGAGGTGTGAATGGGGATCACATGTGTTAAATTTGGTGTTATCACTCTCACTCTCTCATACTGGTCACTGGAAGTTCAACATGGCACCTCATGACAAAGAACTCTTTGAGGGGTGTACTTCTGTGAGATACTGTACACATTATATTATGCATGTGCACGAACTTTGGGGGCTTAAGGTGAGTATTATTTATTTATTTCAGGTACTTACATCGCGCCATCAATTTATGCAGCGCTTTACATATATATTGTACATTCACATCAGTCCCTAACCCTTTAGGGGCGTACAATCTAAGGTCCCTAACTTACAATCATACATACACATATTAGGGCCAATTTAGACAGGAGCCAAATGACCTCCCAGCATGTCTTTGGAGTGTGGGAGGAAACTTGAATACCTGGAGGAAACACACGCAGAACATGCAAGCTCCAGTTGGGTGGTGCCGTGGTTGGGATGTGAACCAATGACCCCAGTACTGTCAGGTGGAAGTGCTAATCATTTAGCCACCAGGGGCAGACTGACCATTTGGAAACTCAGGGTCAGTAGGAGGCCCCATGAGATGCCCTTGGTACCTTTTTCATAGGCTTTTTTGAGTTTGAGCAAAGACACAGGGGCCCCAAGATCCCCTATTGCCCGGGGGCCCGATGAGTTGTCAGTCCGCCCCTGTTACCCACTGTGCTGCCCCGGTACATCATGGAGTAATTGTGTGCACACTGCCTACCTGGAAATTGGGGGAAGCGCTACACCAGCTGTACAGAGTAAAAGGTAATAATTACAAGCAGAGTACATAATTATGCAATTTTGTCACTTATGCAGCATTGTGAACACAGTAAATAGATTTACATAAACAGGTAATTTTTAAATGGACGGTTTAATACTACTTTCATGAACATGTGATATCAAGTCCCCAAAGTGCCACAATTAACTCCATCAGTGGCAGAGAAAATCAGAATGCTGTATATATTTTGTTAATACATTTTGAAAAACAAACTTTGAAAGGAAAATCGTTTTGGCGCTCTAGAATAGTCTTTAGAGGGCCTAGTTTACTATAATGTGCAGAGAAGTTAATCTGGTTCCCATTTACTAGAGTGTAACATAAAATTAAAACAAGTAAATTGCTCCTGTGTTCATTTCATACAATGAAATGTGTTTTGGAGACATTCAGTTATATTCATATACCTGTGCATACAATGGGATGTTTGAATTGCACTTCTTTTTGTAAGTTAGTAAATCAGACTCAGGATAAACATATTTTCCTTTAAAAAATTCCATGCAAAATTTTTATTTTCCCAAGCAGTGAGACTGTGCCCACACTGCATGGGTTAAATGCTTGGAGATATATTTACCTAATCTGTCTGAAAATGGATCCAGTCATAGATCACTTTTCAGAGTGTGACTAAGCAATCATTGTCAGGTGTTCATGAGGTGATCCTACTATCTCCTCAATACCTTTTTTTCTTTTTTGGCAAAAAGCCAAGCATTTGGTCAGCCCCGTAGACTTAAATGGCCGTGTTTGACAGGCAATGCCACCTGTCATCTTAATTGACATGCAGTGCTAAATCTGACATGGCTGAGACATGTGACCAGCTCTATCTGGCTGTATTATAGGCTATAGGTAGGTGACTGGGGAGTCGTTAAATCGTGGCTCAATTACCTGTTTACCATCTTCTCCAGCCACCTGTGTAAAAGAGGTCTTATTGTGCACGTGCTGGAAATAAAATACAAAAACACAAGTTAGGATCAAAAGATGTAGTAAGTTCAAGGTGCAGAATAATTGTTATATATCTGACTTAATGATAATTAATGATTTGTTGATTATGGTACATTTTTACATATTTTCTGTTTATCCACTTTCCAACCGCGCTATAGCCAAATGATGGCTACAGTGCAGTTATCCAGTCCTGGGAGGGTGTCACAGAACGCGCCCTTCATACGCACCCCCGGGGGCGGGTGTGCACCCAACGATCTCTATGGACACAGCTGATCACATGATGTGGTAAAAGGCCAATCACAGCGACCTTTTACCACATGATCAGCTGTGTCCAATGACACGGCAGATCACCGGTAAATGCAGTTGCCAGTTATCGGCTGCACTTTCCTCACGCAACGTGAGGAAAGTACTGCCAATAACCAGCAATTGTAAGAGGACGGATCGGCACCAATCATCAGAGCGCTGATGATCAGTGCCTTGATGATCGGTGCCCAGCAATGCCACTCACCAGCGCCGCCCACCTGTGCCCAGCAGTGCCACCCACAAGAGTCCAGCAGTGCCAACCACCTGTGCCCATCAGTGCCCAGCAGTGCCACCCATCTGTGCTGATCAGTGCCTAGTAGTGCCACCCACCTGTGCCCAGCAGTGCCACCCTCCAATGCCCAGTAGTGCCCCCCATCAGTGCTGCCCAGCAGAGCCACCTATCAGTGCCCAGCAGTGCCACCAGTCAGTGCCGTCAGTCAGAGCCACCCATCAGTGCTGCCTATCAGTGCCCATCAGTGCCACTTATCAGTGCCCATCATTGTTGCATATCAGTGCAGCATCATCAGTGCCGCCTCATCAATGTCAGCTCATCAGTGCCGCCTGTCTGTGCCACCTCATCAGTGCGGCCTATCAGTGCCCATCAGTGCTGCCTATCAGTGCAGCCTCATCAACGAACATCAGCGAAGGAGAAAAATTACCTGTTTGCAAAATATTCTATAATAGAAACAAAGAAAACCTTTTTGTTTTGCTCTTTTTTTGTTTATAGCACAAAAAATAAAACACCCAGTGGCGATTAAATACCACCAAAAGAAAGCTCTATTTGTGTGAAAAAAATTATAAAAATGTCATATGGATACAGTGTTGCATGACTGCGCAATTGTCATTCAAAGTGCGACAGCGCTGAAAGCTGAAAATTAGCATGGGCAGGAAGGGGGTATAAGTGCCCTGTAGTCAAGTGGTTAAATATAACAGTGTAGGCACCATTCCATGTGATAATGTGCAGACTAATTCCTTAAGTGTTTCCCGACTGCCCTATAGCAGAACTACTTCTACAGGGCGGCAGGGCTGCGCAAAATCACGTATGTATACGTGATTTTGTATTTCTGGGTAGGGGGCGTGCGTACCCTACCTGCGCCGCCATTGGCAACTTCAGCTATCACCGGGTCCCAGCCGGGCATTCCCCGCCGACACCCAGCGATCACTGAGGAACACTGACGGTGGAGAGGTCTGTATGTAAACAATACAGATCTCTGCCCTGTCAGCTTCACCATGCTGTTTTGTATTGCTCTGCATAGCAGAGCAATACAAAGCAGTGTGCTTACACAGTAAATCGCACACATACAAAAGAGTAAAACAGCACACAGTTAACCCTTTGATCACCCCAGATGTTAACCTTTCCTACCCAGTGTCATTAGTAGTGTCAGTGCTTTTTATTAGCACTGATCACTGTATTAGTGTCACTGGGGATGTCAGTGACAGTTAATCAGTTCCCCCCCAGTGTCAGAATGCCCACCGCAAAAAAACTTTCCAGTATATAGATGCTATAACTTTCATGTAAACCAATACATTTTGGCCTAACTTTATGATGAAATCAGATTTTTTTATTTTTTTCACGGGACATGTTTAATAGCAAAAAGTAAAAAATATTGTTTTTTTTTCTCAAAATTGTCTGTCTTTTTTTTGTTTATGGCGCAAAAACTAAAAACGCAGAGGAGATCAAATACCACCAAAAGAAAGCTCCATTTGTGGGAAAAAGGGATGTAAATTTCATTTGGGTGCAGCATTGCATGACGGCGCAATTGTCAGTTAAAGTAACGCAGCGCTGTATGGCAAAAAATGGCCAGGTCAGGAAGGGGGATAAATCCTCTGGAGGGCAAGGGGTTAATGTTAGTCTTTTGTATACATAGGGCATGTCCTGTGATCACCCCAATACGAGCTTATTATCAGACTGTAGCTAGAGGACACATGGCTATTTGTACAAATGTTTTGGGGATGGGGGGAGTGAAAAGAAAGGATGAGCATATCTCCTTGATTAATTACCATAGAAATGAAACCCTGCGGCAGAAAACTAAAAATATCCGCATTCTAACCAAGGTGTTCCTGTGCTGACTGAGCTACATCGCACCGGGTCTTCTCTGAGTGTCATTTTTCATCATTTGACACTGATAAAGGGCTAGAGCATGGCTTTGTCTTTATACAGCACTATACATATCCATATCAAAGATGTTTGTATCTCTCTTTCACAAACAAACCGCTACCTATTTTGTCGGCCTAGTTTCCTTTCAGATCTTCCGCACCTACTCTTTTTCATATAAAATAGGATGTTTCTTCTTTTTCTCTTCTGTCATTGCCTGCTGTAGAGCCATGGCTCCTGTAATAATAGATGTTATGCACAGCTGACAGTGCATTAAACACTATACAAAGCACTGTTTAGTGACACAATTAATCTGAGTAAGGAAGATCTTGGCATGAAGTGACTGCGATAGCAAGATATAAAATCCCATGTGCAAGGTCAAAGCAGATGGACTTGAAAAATGTTTTGCTGTCATTTTTATGGCTCGAGATATAAAAATACATGCATTTTGAGTAAATTTAAACAGGGAGTAAAGCCACTGTGTGACATTATTATATACCAAAGGCTACTTGTTACTAGGCTAAGTGATATTTCTGAAATAAATGAAATGTCTACACTTTACTAAACATATCCATCAGACTTTCTTTCATCACTGTGAACCATGTTGCTGTATTATGAAGTAGGTGCTTCTTGATCTGAGTTATCAGGGAATGAATGACAGATCTCTTTAATGTCTCTCCACTTTCACTCTAACAGCTCTTCTCGGTTGCCCTACTGCTCAGTCTAGTATCAGCTGTACTTTGAAAACTTCCCATTCGTGTGAATGAGCAAGGCTGAAGATAGTGGCTCTGCCGGCAGAGCAGAACAAGTATGAAAGTTTAACCCCTGCTACAGTAGAGGTAGACTTAAAGTGGAATTAAACCCATCGCTTTAATGGTTTCCAAAAACATTTACATTCAAGGCATGCCATGAATAATGACTGTCACAGTTGCTTGTGCTCTCAAATGAACTGTCAAGCTATCAAATTGTGTCAAAGCCAGGGGCGGACTGACAACTCATGGGGCCCCCGGGCAATAGGGGATCATGGGGCCCCTGTGTCCTTGCCCAAACTCAAAAAAGCCTATGAAAAAGGTACCAGGGGCATCTCATGGGGCCCCTTACTGACCCTGGGCCCTCGGGAAGTGCCCGAGTTTCCAAATGGTCAGTCCGCCCCTGGTCAAAGCTGATCACATGTGCAGGGCCGAAGGTCAAGCAAAGGCTAAGAGGGAGGGTTTAATGCCACGTTAAGTCCTCATGCACACTTGACGTTTTTACAGCTGTTGTTTTTGGCTTTTGATGTTTTTTTCTGCAGCTTGTAAACCCCCCAGCATGTTATCCTATGTGTCCTTGCACATATAGACTGTAATCAACATTTTATGGCTGGAAAAAAACCCTAAGACTAGTGGGTTTCTAGAGGAGTTGTTTTAGCTGTAAAAACGCTCTAAAGCTGAAAAACGTGGTAAAACGTGGTAAAACACAGCAAACCGGAGTTTTTGGACTTTTTTGGTAAAACAAGCTAAAACCGCTAATGTGGAAAAACACGGGAAAACGCCGATAAACGCTAATGCAAAAATGCTAAAAAAAGCTGAAAAACTCACAATTTTAACATGAGTTTACACAGCTAATTTTACCAGCGTTATCAAAACGTCAAGTGTGCATGAGGGCTTAAACACAATATCGGATGATCTGTGAACTGTGATCGGTTTCTGCATATATTTATTATACAGGATTTATATAGCGCCAACAGTTTGCTCAGCACTTTACAATATAGCGGGAGACAATACAGTAACAATACTGTTCAATACAAGAGGGATAGGAGGGCCCTGCCCCTTGGAGCTTACAATCTAAGAGATTTCCTTGTTTGTCTATTGAACAATGAAGTTTACAAATCGCCACTTTACCCACATAAGCCTGTTTCTGTGATACAGATGTATGGACTTTTTCTTGTTATCCATATTGTGTTGTTTATTCTTGTTGTTAAAAAGTGATCAATGTACATTTGTCATGATGAATGTCTTGTTGTCTAACACAGTTCATGTATGTGACGTATTACGGCTCTTGACTCACAAGTCATTGACTTTGCCTTTCTATCAGTACTGTCATGTTTCACATGACTGTCATATTGACTGTCATATGCCTTTAAGTGTTTCTATATTTTGTTTCTGTTCCTCCCTTTCCTTTGGTTTAGTTAATGCTGTGTAGATAGCCTTTCCCCTTTCCCAGAAATGCATTGCAGCTCTAGCCTCATGTCATGGAGCAGGAAACATTATGATCTTTTGACCTATGGAATGTTCATTGTTGTAAGATTCTCTCAGTTTATGGAATAAACTTCACAAGATCTGCAAGATATCATTCTGATTGAGTCACTGACTGTGGACCCCAACTGAGGTTGAAGTTATCGCTATTTCATCACAACTGTAAGTTACAGAGATCACACTATCAATGCTTAGATTGGAGAAACAGAACAAGTACACATTAGAGCGGTAGCCAATGTATCTTTTATAAATTTCTTTCAATAAAAACTTATTGAAAGTGAAAACACAACAATATCATGCAGTAGTGATTATATCTCTTGCTCTTTTTTTTCTCTTGATGCCGGTATACGTCCCATCTATAAAAATATTCTTACTTGAATGGATTGTTTTTTTAATCTTTGGGTCCAAGGGCTAGTTCACACCACATGCGTTCTGTGTTTTTTTTTTTATTACATCCGAAATGCATAGAAAGTAGGTTACATGGTTTTCAATGCCATAATTGCATTTCCAGTGCGTTCCAGTTCCAGAAAAAAAGGAGCACATGCTGCTTTTTTCCTGCACAGAACTGTACTGGAACATGGTAAAATGCAACAAAAATGCACCGGAATACATAAACATTAAAAAAAAAACACGAAAAAAGCATCTGGAACGCATCTGGAAACGCATTATAAACACATCGGAAACACGTGAAAAATGCAGAAACGCATGCGGAACAGATCGAGTGCATTTTTGTGGTGTCAACTGGCCCTTTACCAGGAATCAGCACTTTCTACAATAAATATATTGTGTCAATGTTTAATTACTTTTATTTATTTTTCTATTTGAATCCATTAAAAATAATGTTCTATTGCATTTGCCATATTCCACCACCACTCTGTTTCTCCATCGAAGCCTACGGGTAATGCCAAGTATGAAGAAGTATGTGGTCTCTCCCCAGAATGCAGTGCTTGGGTGCTAAACTTGAATCCTGTCATGAGGACAAGGAAGAAACCATCCAGCAGGAAACTTACCCAGGGTTTAAAATTTAAGCTCTGATGGAGGACTTAAACAGGAAAGCCATACTTTGAGCCCTCCCAAGGTTCTTAATTTTAACTGAAGTCCTGATGAAAAAGGAGTTCCTTTGACCCCCCCCCCCCCCAACACAATGGATGTCTTTTAACACAATATCAGTAATTCATTTGCACTCTTATCTTTTAGTCTGGCTCTCCATCCATATGTGCATGTCTGCTTTTGGCAACCTGATGGAGGAACAGAGCAGTGTGGAGAAGTGAGTATCAGTGGTTAGATGGGGAGGTCAGTGGTGTTCTAACAAAAGAGCCTGCCATTTTCCTCTTAAAGTTTTATACCAGTCTCTTTAAGGTGTTATCAGCTTAAAGCTGAATCTGTCAGCACACTAATGCTTAATTTCAGCTTAATTTTTGCTTGCATTTTAGCTGAATTGACTGAAATTCAAGCTGTGGGTGGCCCTGTTGGCATTACTAGCTTTAGATTTGAAAATCAAAGGAGTTGGCTGGAAGGAACTGCCAGAATACAATGACCATCAGGGAAGAGTCCACCATTTACACTGTTTACCTTAAAGTTTTATTGAACACAAAAAAAAAAATTTATGAAATTTGACTTCACTAATTCATAGATGTGGTGGCTGCATTAGCTTTCTTTTTTAGATTTTTTCACTTTATTTTCACCTGGTGATGGAGCCAGTAAGTATGTTACCAAGCTGTCCAAAGTGGCAGTTAGATGGTTGAGATAAACTATTTAACACTGACAGGGGTGCTTACATTTCTTAATTTATTTAAAACCTGTACCCCAAAAAGAAAAAACTTGTTGCTGTTTATAACGTGTTAGCTGGCTTTCAGCTTTAATTTTTTAGTCTTCAAAGGTGCTCCTTTGAAGATGTCGCCATGACATAACACGTAGGGGGAGTATTTGTTACCAAATTGGTAAGGTGGATGAGCCTGGCAGCAGTTGGTAAGGTGGATGAGCCTGGCAGCAGTATTCATGATGGACTGGAGGGGGGATAGCCTATGTAAAGGTAAGCCAATGAGGGAGTTGCAGTAGTCGAGGAGAGAGATTACAAGGGAGTAAATTAGGAGCTTTGTGGTGTCGTTGGTTAAAAAGGGGCATATTCTGGAGATGTTGCGGAGGTTGAGGCGGCATGATTCGGACAGGGATTGGATGTGGGCCTGAAAGGATAGTTCAGAATCCAGGGTTACACCTAGCACCCTGGCATGCAGGGATGGATTGATAGTGGTGCTTTTGATCCTGACTGACAAATCACGGGAAGAGGCACGTGGGGGAGGAAATATTATGAGCTCAGTTTTGGATAGATTGAGTTTTAGGAAGTGGTGTGACACCCAGTCTGATATGTCTGTTAGTAAATTGGTGATACGTGTGGAAACTGATGGGGTGAGCTGAGGAGTAGAGAGATAGATTTGTGTGTCATCAGCATAGAAATGGTATTGGAAACCATAGGAAGCTATCAGCTGACCCAAGGAAGATGTGTAGATCGAGAACAGGAGCAGTCCAAGGACAGAACCTTGGGGGACCCCAACAGTAAGAGGAGTAGGAGAGGAGGAAGTAGAGTTGTAAGTGACACTGAAGGTGCGGTGAGATAGGTAAGATTCAAACCAACGGAGAGTACAGTCATGGAGACCAAGTAAATAGAGTTTTTTGAGGAGGAGGGGGTGTTCAACTGTGTCAAAGGCAGCGGAGAGGTCCAAGAGTAAGAGTACGGAATAGTGACCATTGGTTTCTACCCTGTCCAAATACCATATGAAAAGGCATTAAAGTCAATTCACAGATGGAAATAAATAATAATATGCATGTGGTATTTAATTAGTGGTCCAGGCATTCTGTATTTAGGAAATGTAAAAATATAATAGGCAATTTTGAGTGGTTTCTGCCTTTTCGAATCAGTTCTCTCAATGGCAAGGAAACCTAAATAAGGAAATATGGACATCAATGGGGTTGATTTACTTAAAGAATAACTAAATTATTTTATTGTTTGTTTGTTGGATAGAGTGGAGGTGGATTAGAACATCTGTCAGGTTTGTATTAAAGTCTGTGTCCCCATTAGGGATGTTCGCCCCCTCTTTTGTCCTGTTTAACGTTATCATTGAAAGTGAAAGTAAAAGAAAATCCCAAATTTGGGTTGTCCCCAGAAAAGTAACAGAGGGGACATCTTCAAATGGGAACACAGATGGCAAAAAATAAAAAAAACTGACAGAGGTTATAACCCTCCTTTACTCTATCCAAAATGTAAAAAAAAGTGGTGAATGGATGGTGGAAGTCAGCATGGCTCTCTCTCATTTACTAAGCTATGGAGCAACTTCACTTGCAGAGTGCTCAGTCTATGTGCCTTTAGTAAATCCACCCCATTCATTTAGTAAATCCACCCCATTACATGTAGTAAAATATACTTATTTTCTCCTGTCATTTCACCTGATTTTTAGAGACGTTTTTGTGCATATACAAGCATATACAGTACATCATTTGCTGCAAAAAAAGACATAATTTGCTGAGACTGCAAAGTTATTTCAAGGTTTGCTCTGTGCTGGAAAGGTTGAGAAAGGCTGAAAGTGTAACTACAGACATAAAACTTTCTTTTTCAGTTTGGATGGAGTAACTGAGGGTTAGAAACCCTCTCAGTATTTTATTTTTGCGGCCATCTGTGTTCCCATTGGAAGATATTCCCTCTACTACTTTTCAGGGAACAATCCCAAATTTGAGATTTTCTTTTCATTTCATTTAGGTTCTAATACCTCTCCATCCTATACGAAATTTAAAAAAAAAGTTTTTCCTTTAGTTGTACTTTAAGTAAATACAAGTTATTTTTCTAATGTCAAATATCAAAAGAAAGTAGTATGAAAAAATCAAACACACATATATAAATACTCTTCTTCTGCCAATAAAAAAGACAACGT